GACCTTGTTCATGAGCGCGTTGAGGCCGGGGTCGTTGGAGGCGCCGGCCGTAGGGATGTCGGCCGACTGCTTGGCTTCCATCTGAGCCAGCCTCCTTTCCAGCTGGGCGATGACCTCGTCCCGAGGGTCCCTGGCGGCGGCAGCGGCGCCCGGCTGGTTCCTCATGCGCTCGTTGTGAGCCGCGTTGATCTGGTGACGCACGTCATCCTCGTGCAACTTTCCCTTGCCCTTGTCCGGGCGGGGCTGGTCCGCTGTCCGGGACACAGACCCCAAGCTTTCCCTCGGCGAGCCAGGACGAGGATCACCAATCCGTCCCGCCATCCTCTCCGAAACCGGACGACGGCGCGTGTCACCTAGCCTATTGAAGGCGGAGGCTTTTCCACGCGCTGGGGTCTGCCCAGGCCGAAGAGGGGAAGCAGGGTGGGAGTGGGACGACGCCGTGTCCTGGGGCACCACCCCCTCATCGTTGCCTATCTGGACGGCCAACGGTTGGGGCTGAGGGGGTTGAGTGACGTTCCCCCCGGTCCTTGGCAAGAGCGCGCTGAGGACGGTGGGGTTCTGAGCCAGGCTGGCGATGATGACCGACAGCTCGGCCTGGACCTGTGGATCCACGGACGGAGAGGCCGCGGCCATAGGCTGGGCCGGGGTGTGGTCCGTCTTCTCAACTCGTTTCTTGTCCAAGCTGAGGCGGGCGTCGGGGACTCCGCCGTTGAGTTGGTTGCGGAGGTCCGTCGTGAGGTTGAAGGCCTCCTGGAAGAGGTCCCCTCCACCGGCCTGGTCGGCCGTGGCGTCCTCATCGTGCTCCCTGGGCTCTTGGTCCTCAGGGATGGCTTTGCTGACGAGGTTGCGGTTTGACTTAGTTCTCCCCATGATAAGTGGTTAGCTGTGCTTGGTAGCGACGAAGGGTGCTAACTTGATTGTTCTAGCTCTCAACTAGAGCACCAAATGATAGAATATATCTAGAGAGAAGTGAGAGCTAGAGAGAGAAGTGCAATAATATGCTTCAATAGAATGATTTTGTAACCCCTATAACTACTCACAAGGGGAGTATTTATAGAGAAAATACGGGCTGGGCTCCCAAACATTGGGCTTGGGAGGCCCATTTACAACTGGACCGCTACTGGGCCGAATACAAAGCCACTAATGGGCTGTACAAATGAATAAGTATAAAATCCGGTTCTGTGAGGTCTTCGGGGCCGACGAGGGTGTGGCCGACGAGGGCACGGCCGACGAGGGCACGGCCGACGAGGGCACCCGGGTTCCTTGGGCTCAGGACCATAATCTGAGTTGGCCCCTTTTCGGCCGACGGGGGCGTCTTGGCCGACGAGGGCGCCACTCTGTGTCTTGTGCTTTCTGTTCTTCCGAGTATGTGGGTCCAGGGGCTCAGACCCATATACTCCATCACAAACTTCTACATACTCTAAACTTAACTTTTTATCAAATAACACCATCTACACATAACTCATATTTTGATTGAAGCTCATTGCGTTTTTTAATAAAAACATATGGAGTACTACGTCCGTCCCAAAAAAAATTTGTCATTTCAAAAAATTTGAACCATGATTTTGATTAGTATAATATTATTAAAGTTACAAATTTTATACCTTTATGAGAGTGCTTTTAACAAAGAACATTTTCATATAATTTTTATATTATAAATAGTTTCCAATAAAAAAATACAATTGGTCAAAGTTTTGAAATTGATAAAGTTTTTTGGGACAGAGGTAGTATTTTCTAAAGACTTTTTATGTTGTCAAGTTATGTTGTGGAATGGAGTATATTAAATGTTTGGAAAAATTCACTAAGCAGGAGTAATGAAAATAAAAAATTAATAAAACGTTAAACATGAATATCAAATTGATAGGCATTCTAAGAACACTAAATCCTCATATGGTGAGATTTGGAACACGCCTAAGATCATTTGCACTGAACTCAATGAATGTAGTGAAAAATCTAAAAAAAAGAGAGATTATTCAATCCATAGTTCTTTGAATTGGATGTATAAAAAGAGGGGATAAATAGATGGGGGGGGGGGGGGGGGGGGGGGGGAGTGGGGAACACATTCTCAATTTCTCAATAGAATTTAGGAAGTAAAAAAATAAAGGGAGAATTTCCTAAATAGGAGTAAAAAAGTTTTGAAATTTCAAAATAGAATTATCATGTTTTTTATTCCTTAAAGGGAAAAGGTGCAAATAAGCCCTCAAACTAATCGAAAAAGTGCAAATCACCCCTTTTATAAGAGGCTCTGTCCTGCCGTCGCCATTTGTGGAGGTTCCATGTGGAATTTTTTGATGATTTTTTGAGCATCTTCTTCATTAAGTCTAGTTTACCCATACCAAATTTCAGCTAAAAATTCAACCGGGAAGACAGTCAAACCTAAGCGGTCGAATTTTAGTATACACATAAATAATTTATTTTTTAGAAATTGCTCTAAATACGAGCAAAACATTTTGAAATTCCAAAATAGGAGTATGATGATTTTTATTCTCTGAATAAGAGTAATCTGCCAAGTTTGGAAAAAAATGCCATGTTTTAAAGGTTAGTAATGCTAAACTTGGCATAAATTTACTCATATTCAAGGAAGGGAAAAGAGGCAAATAAGCCCTCAAACTAATCGAAAAAAATGCAAATCACCCCTTTTATTGAAAGCTCTGTCCATCCGTTGGACAGACAACTTGTCTGCTGGTGACAGACATGTGTACACAAAAGGTGTACACATTTGGTGTACACCAAGCAAAGTTGTAAAATCATTCAAATAAAGAGAGATAATTTATTTGATAATATTTATGTTGTTATTTTTGATGGCACATGTGCACCTGCATACTATAACATTGGAGATCTCATCCGTTTGAATGGGGAGAAATGGTTTGACGGGCCAAATTGGAATCAATGTTTAGAAAATTTTATTGTTATTTTCCTTCATCTTTAATTTTCATCAAATAGTAGAGCTATATCATCACGAATTGCGGTGGAATGTGAATTTGATGTGATGAATATACAAAAACTACGTGCACCATAATTAAATTGCTAGTTCAGAGGATAAATAAATGTTGATCAAACCAAGTGTTTTTGAATGGAAACTAACATTACTAAAAGAAATAAGATTACTAAAACAGAATACAAAAGACAAATACTCCATCCGTCCATCCGTCCCGTAAACAACTTCACACTTTGTTTTCACACATATTAAAGAACTAAATTTACTGGGAGATAAATTTTACTGTTTTGACATTGTTTGGACACTGTTTGGGTGTAGAGATTTTGCCGAATAAGGAAGTGAGAAGAAGTGTAAAGTTAATTTCGAGACTGCCCAAAAAGGAAAGTGGGAAGTTAATTCTCAGACAAAGGGAGTATATGATTAGTTTTGATTTTTATGAAAAAGTGACTAAATATGTCATTTATGTCCTTCAATTAATATTACATTTATTATCTTAATATGATTTTTTAGAAAAGAATGTAATTAATGTCGGATTGCAACCCCAACCCACCCCGTCACCCTCACTCTCCACTGTCGGTGATAGTGATCACCGTCAATAGTTACTATATTCTTTGATTTTTTTTGATAATCCAGGTGTCGGGGCTTACGCTCCCATAATCCTGGAGTCTATGAACTAGACTCCAAAGTCCTTAGACAGTTAAATCCGGATCTGATCACAGTCAGCCTCGTCAGTACTGGCTCCAAAGGACGAATCCAGCAGGACTTGCATCACCTTTCAGGCTGCTCCTCCCACCACACGAACCCGCTACCTTCATTACCATCTTCTCCCTTCTCAGCCGCTGAGCAACTCCGTGAAGGTAGAAAGAATCACTAGGAGCAAGACCTCTCTCATCTCCCCTTGGTGGGAATTGAACCCAAGATCTCCCACAAAGGAGAGACTTGGGGGTGGATGGTCATCCATTGGACTTCACCCACCTTCCCACTATATCCTTTGATCTGCTATGATAAGTTAGTTATTACCATATTTTGATCTATAGTGACCACTTTGGATGATATATCGGTTTTGTTTCTATTTTTATTGGTTTGATTTGATTCGGTTTGAAATGGGTTGAAAGAAAGATGGCCATAGAAAAACCTTACTATTTTCGATTTGGTTCGGTTTGGATTTATTATTATTTTTAAAATATACGAAATATTAAGAATTTATTGAATGTTTTAGTTTGGTTCGGTTGTATACGAATTGCATACAATTTGGTTTTAGTTCGATTTACTTCGATGTGGTATAGCTCAATTCGGTCAAACCGAATCGATTTGTCCACACCTGGTGACTACTGTCGATAGTTACTTTAAAAATAAAAACCGGGTTAGTGACTTTGCCCCAACTTTAACCAAATTAATCAGTTAGTGTCAACCGGTCTAACCAGCCACAACAGCAGTCACTAGAAACCCTATCTGCAACCACAGTGATGAAATCCCTATATGGCCCAACTTGAGTCAATGGAAACCCTTGGCCCTCAGCCCTTGTATTAGTGTTATAACTTTGATGTGAACCTCTAAGGTCCACAAATTCTCAAAAGGAGAAGCAATCTTATAAGCTTTGTTGTATTCAGAATAAGTGATTTTAATAACGGTTGAGGAGGTGGGTAAAAATTGGTGAGAAGATTTGCCTAGAGAGATGCTCTCAATTATACTCCTATCATGTTAAGTTTGACATTACTAACTCGTAAGTAAAAGAAAGTAGAAGGTGTGATTGAAATTCAAGCAAAAAATGACGACAAATTTTGTTAAGAACTACTACGTATTAAAACATGGCAAAATGTACATTCAAACACTAGGTAAACATGGAGCACAATTACGCAAGCATGTTTACTATGCCAAATTCATTGCCAAAAAAAAAATGAAACGTGACGCCGGTTGATCAGGGTAATGATGAACAGAGTTTTATGATTGTTCATGACCGATATACCATACTACTGAAGTACGGAGTATAATTTTTGAAGTTATTCGTTTGTCAACTTGGTTGAAGATATATTCTTTATTTAACTTCTTTAGAACTATTTTGGAGCAAGGAAAACGAAATATTATCATGATTAATCTTCTTACTATAAATAACTTATAATAAACCACATGCTATCTTTGAGATGCATGAATACAGCAAATCCTGAATAAAATCACAAACCCAATTATCTTCAAAATAGTACTCTTACCCGGTTTTGATGTTATATGGTCGAAACAAAAAAGTACTCAATATCCACTTCCGAAAACAAACAAAAAACAGAATAGAAAAGGACAGTGGCAGAAGGGAAACCATAAGAAAGGAAATAACTTCCCTTAAATTTCTGAAAACCAAAAATTAATAAATTACACTAAACTCATATCACCTAGTAATTGCCATGTTCGTCTACAGCTCATCATGAGAGTCATCATCATCTTCTTCAGATGCTCCGGCACTTGGGCCACCGCCTGTTCTTTGGTATACAGCGGATACAATTGGATTGCAAACAGCCTCAACCTCTTTAAGCTTTTCATCATAGTCCTCCTTTTCAGCGGTCGGGTTCTCCTCTATCCACTCAAGGGCCTCCTTCACTGCAGTATCAATCTTCTCCTTCTCATCAGACTCGAGCTTATCTCCAAGCTTGTCCTTGTCACTGATTTGGTTCTTCATGTTGTACACGTACGTTTCGAGACTGTTGCGGGCATCAATCTTCTCCTTCATTTTCTTATCTTCCTCAGCGAACTCTTCCGCTTCACGAACCATGCGATCGATCTCTTCTTGACTCAGCCGTCCCTTCTCATTGGTGATGGTTATCTTCTCTGATTTACCAGTCGCCTTGTCTTCAGCTTTAACATTCAATATTCCATTTGCGTCAACTTCAAATGTGACTTCAATTTGAGGGGTTCCTCTGTTCATATCAACCAACCAGTCAAGTTGAGTTTACATTAAAATCCCAAGTTAACTAAAACAAAATTTGGAATGATATTTCTATTATTAACTACATGAAGGGGGAAATGATCAGCATCCAAACCTGGGAGCTGGTGGAATTCCAGAGAGATCAAACGTCCCCAGAAGCCTGTTGTCCTTGGTAAGACTCCTTTCACCTTCATAAACCTGTCATATTTATACATTAGAAAAAACGCATATGGTTTCAAGAGAAATGTAAGGATTGCATACTTGGTCATTGATTATGTTTATTTATTATTCATAACTATGTACCTTGATGGAGACGGTGGTCTGCTGGTCCTGGTAAGTAGTGAAGACTTGGGATTTCTTTGTTGGAATCACAGTGTTCCTAGGAATTAATTTGGTCATCACTCCTCCGACAGTTTCAATACCAAGAGTAAGTGGGGCCACATCCAACAGAAGAATATCTTTAGTTTCATCACCGCCTTCTCCGCTTAGAATTCCACCTTGTACAGCAGCACCATATGCAACGGCTTCATCTGGGTTCACACCTTTGTTGGGCTCCTTGCCGTCAAAGAAATCCTTGAGGAGCTGTTGAACCTTTGGAATTCGGGTACTTCCACCCACAAGAACGATCTCATCAATTTGGTTCTTATCCAATCCGGCGTCATCCATAGCCTTCTTCACTGGACCCATTGTCTTCCTGAAGAGGTCGTTGTTCAGTTCCTCAAAGCGAGCACGGGTTAATGGCTCAGAGAAATCAGTTCCATCGAAGAGAGATTCAATCTCAACTCGGACCTGGTGTTGGCTGCTCAATGCCCTCTTGGCACGCTCACATTCTCTTCGGAGCTTTCCCAAAGCCCTGTAATCTTTGCTAATGTCCTTATTGTGCTTCTTCTTTATCAGTTTGATGAAATATTCCATAACCCTCTGATCAAAATCCTCACCTGCAAAGAGATATATAAAGGAGTTTTTTCAACAAACGCCCACATATCTAGGCTGCTGCTATCTTAAATAGTGTATAGAACATAAACCATTAGTTCCAAAAGACAACTATAGAAACAAACAGCAAATATATCATTTAAGAAGATATAACCTCACCTCCTAGATGGGTGTCACCATTAGTGGATAGAACCTCAAACACACCGTTATCAATGGTCAAGATACTGACATCGAATGTCCCACCACCTAGGTCAAAAACAAGGATGTTCTTCTCACCACCTTTCTTGTCTAGTCCGTAGGCAATGGCAGCAGCAGTTGGTTCATTGATAATTCTTGCAACATTAAGTCCGGCAATAATACCAGCATCCTTGGTAGCCTGCCTTTGAGCATCATTAAAGTATGCTGCAAAAAATCAATAAAGTTGATATAAGCATGATATCCATTAGTAGGCCAAAATGTAGCAGGCATGTGTAAAATAGCCCACTAAACTACGTTTCCAAGAGTTGCCACGCACCAGGAACAGTAACAACAGCGTCCTTAATCTTCTTTCCTAGGAATGCTTCAGCTGTCTCCTTCATCTTTGTCAGAATCATTGCACTGATTTCCTCAGGACTGAAGACTTTAACTTCCCTATCCTTGATGTTTACTTGTATGTAAGGTTTACCATCCTTGTTCACAATCTTGTATGGAACCAGCTTCATATCCTTCTGTACCTCCTTATCCTCAAACCTGTGAACAAGCGCACAATGAGTGCATTTCATACTACATTTATAATATGTCAACTCAACGTGTTTAGAGGAATGTGCATACTTTCTTCCAATAAGCCTCTTCACATCAAAGATTGTTCTCTCAGCGTTGACAGCTGCAAGGTTCTTTGCAGCCTCACCAATCAGTCTTTCTGTGTCTGTGAAGGCAACCCAAGATGGGGTGATACGATTTCCTTGATCATTCGCTATGATTTCAACATGCCCATTCTTGTAAACGCCAACACAAGAATATGTTGTCCCAAGATCAATTCCAATAACAGTTCCTAATTTAGTTGCCTCCTCCTTTGCAATAGAAAGTGCAGATAGACATCCTATTGAATAAAATGGTCCAGTCAGTAATTCAATACAAACTCATCAAACTATTTACGTTCCATTCACAAACAATATTAAAATGGCATAAGCCTTCATAAGAATGCAATTTATTGGAGCACTGAGGAAGAAGTTTGTGTATCAAAGGCACCACCCATAAGAAAATCTAAGGGAAAGTGAATGGAATAATAATTTATGGTTTGAACTACACCCCTACATGTTTATAAGGTAAAGACTGAAGTGACATTTTTCAGATGGACCTGATATAATTTGTACCAAAATTTTATACAAAATGCAGATGGGTTTTTATATGGCTACAACGTTGTATTGTAGTGCCATCTATCCATCATTTTTATCGTGTAACACTATGTAGGCTGATTTGATTATATTCGACTAACTTGGCTGTAAAAAAAGTAACATGCATGTGCAATACCTTATATACAACGGTGGTAAAAGGTCTGATTGGTGGTAAATATCCACCATCTTCCAGTTAGGTTTAGTGGATAGAAGAAATGAACATTTATATTTTCTTAGGATGAAGACATGTGTTGCAGCTTCTTGATTCGCGTAATTACAAGACACAGATAGCAGCAAGTCTCTCAATGGCAGATATAACATACCTTGAGCAGACACAAACGCCTGCTCAAAGCATGCTATGAATGTTTCAAGGTTAACAGTAAATACCACATCAGACTATTGGGGATCAGATTAACAATAGGTTCATATATCAATGTCATTATTTGTAGCAATGACCTGCAAAGTTTCTTTCTTCAAAGAGACATAAAGAGCACAAACAGATTCCAGAAAAATAAAATTGAGTTCTACTGATAAGCATATTGAAAAAGTCTGGTCCACATATTGTTTGCCCCAAAAAATTCTTTGATGAATTTAGAACATTCAAATATAAAAACAATGCCAGATTTACACAACAGAACATACAAATGAGGAGAGAGAGCCAGATCTATTCAGCTTGTTTCCTTATCACATAATTGTACGCTATAAATGAAAAAAAAGATGAGTGAGCTGCTTTTACCGATGACGACGATCGCTAGGACGAGGAGTGAACCGCTTTGCCTCCAATAGCCCCCTACGGCCATGGTTTACTTTCCTCTTCTTCTCTCTACCTGCATTTACGCATATCATCGGTATATGAAACCCAAATAGATCCATTCTCTAATAATAAAACTATAAAGTTCAAATCAATTTAGAAACAAATCAACTCGAATTGAACTAATTGAAGTACGCACTTTAACCCAAGGCCTAGTATTTCCACGAAATTGGACGGAAATATACAGACCCATTCAAACATACAATATGTCAGTAAGTGATCTACGCATATCCTGTATTGGTATGGAAAACAAACTCATACCTTGTGGGCACACCTATGGATCACTGGAGCTCTTGCAATGGAGTTCTGGGAATCGACGACTATACTTTTGGGGTTGAAAAAGACAAGGAGATAGGGATTTGGGGATGTCGAATTGAGAAAGCACGCTTAGCAGTGTTTGTAAGATTACCTGAAGGATTCCCGCGCTTCGCGTCCAATATATATAGAAGAGAAGTTTTTCGGTACCAGTGGTCTAATGTGAGGCCGTGACTATGGTTGAGGTGTTCCAGCTAATTGGCACGCGCCATGTGGCAGTTCCAGAATCATCAAATCATCAAACTAAGAGATGCACAGTACATCATGGCATTTGACAAATTTTAAAAACTTTTGGACTGTTTGTCATCAACTTTTAGAAAATAAACGAGATTTAATACATACACTTTTTATTCGGTAATAGTAATGAGAAAAATTGTCAAAAATTTGTTAAGAAAAACGTTGATTTTTAAAAACGTGTATATACGTATACGTGTATAGTACAATATCTGTTACAAAAATTCGGATAAAAAATACGGGTATTATTTTCAACATTTAAATTATATACTTCACAGAATAAAATATATAGTAAAAAGAAATAAAAGTATACACATATTCGAGTAGCAAATCTCATTACTACATAAAAGAATAATTAGTAATTGTGTAACTCGATGACAAAAATAAAAATAGTAATTAAATCCAAGACATAATTTTCCAAGACATAATTTTCCAAACTAATGTCAACAAATAAGACATAATAACAATAGAATATAATGAGACTAAGTTAAAATCTTTACCTTTAGATGATCATCAAATAAAACTCAATTTAAATTCATCATTTTCATCGCGATGATGGATGACATATGAGAAAAGTTGTGCAACTGCTACGCGCGCTTATTATTGTTTGTGTGTAAAAGTTTATACTAAAAAATGTCTGGTTTAGAAAAACTTTAATTTTGACATGTTTGTTTAGAAAAACATCAGAAGTCTAGTAGTATAGTAGTAGTAGTATAAGTTTTAGTCTTTTACGATGCTAGTTTGAGCCATCATGCAATTAATTTTAGTATGTAATAATTGTATTTTAACAATACAAATATATGTGGTCACAGAGTGGAGTTTTTTTGCTTTTAAACTATTGTTGGTCTCCTATTCATTTAATCCATTCATTCAATTGATCAATCCATGTTTTTTTTTGTAAAATATGATATACCAGCTTTAGTCGCCATGCAATTAATTTTAGTATTTAATAATTGTATTGTAACAATACAAAAACACGAGATCATATGGAGGAGCTTTTCCATTTTTTCGATTAAACTATTATCGATCTCCTGTGCATTTGACGTGTTCATTCAAATGATCAATTCATGTTTATATTTTTAGTAAAATACGAGAAAAATACATTTTATACGGGAAGTAAGAGTTTTTTTCCTTTTTAAACGGACCGACATTATTTTCGTTTTAAACGTGTTTTTGTTTAAAAAACGGTACGTGTTTAAAACGCATTTAAAACGGAATAAAAGCTAACTACGAACGAATATAATATAGTTAACATCTTTACTCTATCTTTTTGAAAATTGGAAAATGAAAAGTATAGATTTTTTATTTCACCAATTTTAGACTTGGAAGACATGGAACGTTTTTCCAATATCAGAATTTTTTAACTTCAAAATGTCTTTTGATTTTATCAAATGCAAAATAGTTCTTCAATAATAATTCAATCATATACGCTATTGAGTAGTATTATTATCTTTTAAGCCTTTTTCGAGTATTAACATCATGTCTATTTTGACTAGAATATTTATTACGGAGTATAAGGTTACCTACTATATCTATCGTATAAGCACAGTTGTTATATCGTGGGAGCAGCCCACCGTGAGCATGCTGCTCCCACAGACAAAAATACGCGTGTTACTGTTCACGCGTGAACAATAACTTATTTTTTGTTTTTTCAGTGTCCAGTAGCAGAGTAATGTAACTCGCGTGTAAAGAAATGTAACTCACGTTGATCAGAAATGTAACTGCAGGCAAGTCCAAATGTAACTTGTCTAATACGAACTATAAGAAATAAAACATTGATTTCCTTGAAACAAGGAGTCTAATTGCTCAATTACTTTACGTAAATAGTGAATATGTTTTGTTTTTAATATTAAGACCATAAATAAATTTTCCCCTTAAAATCAGTTTTTTTTGCCAAAAAATCATTTTTTTGCAAAAAAATCATTTTTCCGCCATTTTTTTCCCTTGCAAAAAACTCGTTTTTTTGTTTCAATAGCATGTGTTTACTTAAATAGTGAATATGTTCTGCCAAAAAATATATTTTTTTTAAATCACTTTTTTGCTAAAGAAATCATTTTTTGCCTTGTTTGGCAAAAAATGATTTTTTTGTTTCAATAGTAGAGCTTTATGTTGCGATGTAACTTATGTTATAGAAAATGTAACTCACGTTGATGAAAAATCTAACTTAGGTCAATGTAAAATGTAACTTGTTAAGGTAAGTCCAAATGTAACTCGTGTAAAGGAAGATGTAACTCACGCATAAAAAGATGTAACCTGCGCATAAGAAGATGTAACTTCATATACTATCAAATGTAAACAATGAAAACATGAAGTCTAATTGCTTAAATTTTTTTAACGTAAATAGTTAGTATGTTTTGTTTTTTGTATTAAGGCCATAAAAATGTTTCAAAGAAAAATAATATTTTTTGCCACAAATATTAATTTTTTTTTGCCGCAAAATCATTTTTTTCCAAAAAAAAATTTTTTTGGTTTCAATGGATGGATTTATTTCGTGATGAAACTCGTGTTATGAAAACATGTAACTCATGCTAAAAAATCTAAATTAGGTGTATGCAAAATATAGCTTGTTGAGGCAAGTCTAAATGTAACTCGTGTATGAGAAGATGTAACTCATTGACAACAAGATGTAATTCGCCTATAAAAAGATGTAACTTCATATAATATCACATGTAATTCCATAAATTGGCTATAAACATAACTCGCACATATGAAAAATGTAATATAATTCATGTTTTATGAAATTTAAATCGAAAAAACAAATTTTATGTCTTAAAAAAACTAAAAACATATCAAAGAGATAAGAAATATATTTTTTTTATAAAGAGATAAAGAAATATATTATAGAAAAAAAATTATGAACATGAAGATAAAGAATTTTTTTAGATGAATTATTATGTATTGATAAAGAATAAAAAATAGATTCAATTATAATTTAAGATGAAGATAAAGAAAGTAGGATTGCAATTAAATTTTTAGTATTTTGATTTGATGGAAAAAGAAAAGAATTGAACAAAAGAAAAAAAATAAGAAAAGCAAAGGAAAAGGAAATAACAAAGTTGGAGACAAAGGAAGTGAGAAAAGGAAAGCAACGTAACTTTCCTAAAAGTGGGATCGGCACACCATGCGGAAGGTGGGCCGATCCCACGGTATAATTTGCGGTATAAGCATTCCTAGATTTTGGATCAAATACCAACAATTTATATTATAAAAATAAGGATTAATCTCAGCCACCAAAAAAGTTATGCACCATAAACCTTATCTGATGCACTTTTCGAATAAACCTATTCTGATGCATTTTTTGAAAAATACATTGATGGAGTATATGGGTCTAGGCCCCAGGACCCACATACTCAGAAGAACAGAAAGTACAAGCCACTACGCAGTGCTCTCGTCGGCCAAAGGATCCTCGTCGACCGAAGAGGGACCAACTCAGAATATGATCCTGAAACCAGGGAACCAGGGTGTCCTCATCGGCCGTGCCCTCGTCGGCCAGACCCTCGTCGGCCACGGAAGTCCCGCAGAACTAGATTTTACACTCGTTCATTTATGTATCCCATCATTTACTTTGTATTCGGCCCAATGGCGGTCCAGTTGTAAATGGGCCTCCCAAGCCCAAGGCTTGGGAGTCCAGCCCGTATTTTTCCTATAAATACTTCCTCTGGGGGTAGTTGTAGGGGTTACAAAATCATTCTATTGAAGCATTTACTTGCACTTCTCTCTCTAGCTCCCACTTCTCTCTAGATATATACTCTATCATTTGGTGCTCTCATTGAGAGCACCATTGATGGATTATAGGGGTATCCAAACTATAATAAAATGGAGAGATTTGAGCTAATGTGAAGAACACAACTCATTCATACATTACTATTCATTCATCTTCTTCCTCACATTAGCTCAAATCTCTCCATTTTATTATAGTTTGGATAACCCTATAATCCATCATACATCAAATAAGGCTTATTCAAATGTGCAATAGATAAGAGTTATTGTGCATTTTTCGAATAAACCTTATCTGATGCACTTTTCGAAAAAACCTAAATTGCAATCTGGACGAGTGATATTAATTTTTATTTTACACGTTAAAATATCATTTGACACAACCCAACATTCATATTCCTATCTTATGTGTTCACTTATAAGAATTGATTAATGCTTATAAGTTTATCTCCTGTGCTAACAAATACTCAATTAATTGTGATTCATCAACGGGCTGGGCCGACCCACATCGTCCCAAAACTAATGGATTTAGACTGGGTCGGGATGGACTCAAAGTAAATAATTTAATTAATGGGTTGGGTCGGGCCGGGCTTTTGTAATAAAATTACAGCCGTAGCCCGTCTATATACTATGGCCTAAGGGGTCACGTCAGGGTGATCCACATGTCACTAATAAGGCTGGACTTAGATGGGCTTACAAGAAAATTCAAAATTCTTTATATATCACAAAATATAATGTACTCAACTAAATCAGTGAAAATGAATTTATTATTCCAAATAATGTAATAATAATAAAATTAAAGCTCAAAACTCTCAAACTCTATCACAAACTTTTTGATGGAGTATATGGCCCAGGAACCCCCGGCCCATAGACTCCCACTACTATAGCGAAGGCCCAATAGGCCCAGAAAGCACAACAAGCCCAAATCACAGCGCCCCAAGTGCCAAACAGCCACGATGAACACTGGGATGCCTTCGGCCCCCTGGCCGAAGGCTCATAAGCTTACAGTACAGCTTCTTTTAAGCACTCAAAGTGTCTAGGAGAAAGCGGCGAAAACAGTAGCCCTCGGCACCTAGAGCCCTCGACACCTAGAGGCCCTCGGGATGAAGAGCCTTCAGCTAATCATCTACGACTGAAGGCTTCTCCTC